GCATCTTATTATACATTTTTCTCTTAATTAACAATTGAACCATCTTTATTTTAAATTTATTTTTAAACAGTCTCTCTTCCAAAAGAATCCTTAACTGTTTTAATTACTATTTTTTAACCTGTTTTAGCATCAATTCTTTCTTCTTCAGTAATTATATTACCTTTAGCATCTTTATAAACTTTTTTTTTGACAATCGTGATATTTCCATTAGCATCAACAATTTCTTCTTCTATAGTTTCAGTTCCATCTTAATTCTTCACTTTTCTTTATATTGTTACAGATCCATCAGCATTTTATATTTCAACTTCTTCAATACCATCCTTAATTCTTGTTTTCTTGATTATTTTATTACCTTAAGCATCAAAAGCAACTTCTTCAACTACAGTAATACCATTTTCTTGATAAATCTTTTACTCTTTAGTTGCAATTTTACCATTCTTATCAATAATTTATTATTCAATAATGTCTTAACCATATTCATTTTTTCTCTTTGTAGTAATTACCTTATTACCTTTAGCATCTATTCTTTCTTCAACAATTACTTCATTGCCATCACTATCTATATAAACTTTTCTTTTAACTTTAGTTTTATTTCCTTTTTCATCTATAATTTCTTCTTCAAAAATTTCATTACCATCTGCATCTTTATATGCTTTTTATCTCTTTGTAATTTTATTACCTTTTTCATCAACAGTTACTTCTTCAATAATATCATTTCCATCTTTATCCTTTACAGTTCTCTTAGCCACTTTTAATTTCTTGCCATCAGGCATAATATACTCTTCTTCTACATATTCAACGCCATTCTTATCTTTTTTAATTTTAACTTATTTAATTCTTTTTTATTTTTATCCATTTTCATCAATATATTCTTCTTCAACTTCATATCTCTCTTCATCAGCTTCATTCCCTTATAATTTTCTAACCTTCTTTCCTGTTTTATCTTCAAACCATTCTCCTTATTTAATTTCTTTTCCATCTTTAGCTACTGGTTTAGATGGCAAATTTATTTTAGATCCACCTATAGCAAATCCTCCATGAGCATCAAGAAAATCTTGAGTTTATTTTGATTATTAAATTTAATTTGGTTTATCTCTTTTTCTTAATTCTTCTCCTTATGCATTTACAACAACCTCTTCTTCTACTTCCATTTCTTCTTCTACCCATTCTCCATCACTTTTTTATCTTCTTACCATCTTTTTAACTTTTCTTATTATTATTTTTTCATCTGGATTCAAAAATTCTGGATCAAATAAAGGATCATAAAATGGTACTTTTGCTAATTTTTATTTTCTTGTCATTTCATCTTTTTTTACTCCCCTTGTAATTGCTCCTATATCAGATCCACAAATTTATTTAAATATTGGATCTCTTAATAAATCATCTACTGCCATTAATTCTTTCATCTCTTATACATTTAATTTTTCATTTAAATTTACTTTAAATAGATTCTCTGCTTAACCTAATATTGCTTTCTTTTATTCATCACTTAAATTTGGATTATTTGTTATAAATAATTTAAATCTTTCAAAATTTCTATTCATTTCTTTTTCTAATGCAGCAATATTATCCAATAATGTCTTAATTCTAAGTTTCATTTTTATATTATCTTCTACTAATCTCTTTATTTTTTCTGAATCATTTTTACTCAAAACAGCCTACTACTCTGATTATTATTTATCTTTTGCTTTCTTCTCTTCTTATTATTTCTCCTCTAATTTTTTTTTCTCTAATGTCACTTTTTATAATTAACCATTTAAAACCCCTACTTATTATGCATATGCATCTCTTTCTATAAGAGTGTCTTTTATTTTCTTCTCCAATTATATCATTTTCTATTAAACATCATGATTCTCTTTTCTCTATTTATCAAGCTTATCTTAATATTCTTGCTCTATTTTCATTTTATCTGTTTAAATGTATGCTTCTTACATGTATACTAATACACCATTCTTCATTATAGCTTTTCCAGCCTTTATATCAGCTAATGCCTTCTCCTAAGCCTATTTCTACATACCTTATATTCCTTCTACAAATGCACCTTCCAAACTTTTTAATTGATTTTACTATTGCTTTTATAACTCTTCAAAATGTTAAACTGCCTCATCTTCTGCAGCATTTACTTCATGTTTCTTTTTACCTAAATCTTTCAACACTTCCTTTAGATTAGTTTCTGCCTTTGATTCACCAACAGCTAAATCTAATTTCTTATTCTTCAAGAAATCAGTTATTTATTATGATTCTTAATCTAATTCTTATTACATTTCCTTAAGTTCCATCTCCTTCTTCAATAAATTAGCTTAATTTCTTGCATCTCTTATATCATCACCTGTATAAGTTGCTTTTTCAGCAAAGGTTTTTCTAACAGTTTTCTAACATAATACAATCTTTTACTTTAACAATAGGCTACAATTGAACCATTTAATTTGCTAATTTATTCGTTTCTTGACTCTATTATGCAGATTAATCTACTGATCTATTATAATATTTAAATTTCTTACTTTCTTCTAGGTTATCCAATGTTTTTTTACAAAGTCTCGAGCATTTTATCTGCTTAAACTTCAAAATTTGTATTCAATCTAAATATTACATATATAAATTACTTTAATATATAATTTAGAATCATATTCTAACCATTATATATTTTATTAAGAGATTATCTTAATTCAGATAATTTTGCATTTTCTAACATTTCTGATATCTCATATAAAACAATTTAATAAATTTCATGAGTCGTTTTCATGATTTCCACTAATTTTGGTTTTGTAATCTCTTTTTATTTCTTCTTAAAATCATTATCAATTTTTGATAATAATTTATCTAATTTGGCTAATTTAACTAAATCTAACTCGCCGTATTCTCTTCCTATTCCAGTAGGATTTTCTATTTAAGAATACCGAAAATCAGTTGCCATTTGTTTTATAAATATTATATTAAATTGAACAATATTCTAAAATAAGACAAATTATTTCAGAAATTAGAAATAATTCAATAAATAATTCAATAAATAATTCAAGCAATTCTAAAGTATATTCACTGATCTTCATATTACCTAAACTATTTTTCATGTTTTTTATAAAATCTTTAAATGAAATGTTTAATATTATTATATAACTAATCAAATTTTTCTATGTTAATCTATTTTTTCTCCCCATCTTTTTTCTAATCTTTCCAAATTTTAAAGAGTTTCATCATATTTTCTCTTTAAAATTGAATATTCCTCAGTCTTTTCTTAATATTCTCGTTGTTTTCTATTGAGTTCATTATTTAGTGAATTAATCTTTTAAGTTAAAGCTAAATTGTCTCTTTAAATACTTTCTAACTAAGACTGCAAATCTTATTATCTAAACATAGACCCTAAGATTTAAATAAAGATATACTTCTACTATCTTCAACAGAATTTTTTTTTAACTATTGTTCTTTTCTTGCCTCTTCTAATCCCTAATGTAATTATTCTGTCTCTTCTTTTCTTTTTTTAAGTAAATCCATTAAGTGAATTTATTCTTGTTTCGCTTATGCTAATTCATTTTTTTAACTATTGATAGTTGCTTACAATTAAGTTATAGACATATTATTCTTAAGTATTTCTTCTTACATATTGTAATTGACACTTCTGATTTTTTCCATTTCCATTTTCAAAGATTCAATTAGTTCTGTTTTTTATTGTAAATCTTGTTAATATTAATATTCTCTTTGCTCAAAATCATAATTTGAAAGTGCATTTCTTTTATCTAAAATTTTCATCTATTATTCCATATTTTACTTTAAATCATTAATTTCGTTTTCTTTAACTTCAATTGTTTCCTCTAATTAAATTCTTAGATTTCTTGATTTTCTTTCCAAATCATTAATATTTTCTTATTATACTTTTTTTTAAACTTCGTATTAATCTTTAAATGCACTCATTTCCTCAATCAAATCTATGACTTATTTTTCCTTTTCTTTATTTTTATATATTTGCATGCTTAAAGCTTCATTTAAATCATTAATCTAATTTTTTGTTTCTTGTTTTGTTTAATTTAAATTAGATTCTAAAATCTCAATCTCTTATCTAAACTAAAACTCTTACTACTTGAAATTATCTAGTTATTTCAATAGTTATTATGTTGAAATTTAATACTACTAAAGTTATTAACTCTATTAATCATTTTATTTTTATATTTATGATAATTTTTCTGAAAACTTTTTATTATCGTTTAAAACTCCATTAGTTTCATTTCTTGATTATTCTAATTGCTTCTCACAAATGGTTAAATCCTCCTGTAATTTATTTTTTTTTGAATCAATAGCCTTAAACTCTGATAATAATTTATCATAATCTGATTTTGCAATAGCTAATTTATCATCTAAACCTTTTTATACTATTTAATAATTTTAAACAGATGAATGAAAATCTCTTTCAATTTCTTTTTTTTATTTATTAACTTGATTCAAATCTAATTCCTTTTATTGCAAACTAACTCTGAATTATTCAAGCTAACTCTCTAAATTATAACATAATTATTGAAAATGTTCTTCAGATTCTGCTTTCTCTCTTAAAGTTTATTTAACTTTTTCTTCTAATTAACCAATAACAGAATTTTTCTGATCTAATTATCTTGAATCCACTTAATTATGTGCAACTTCAGCCTTCAAGTTATCATTTTCAATTTATAATTAAAAAAGTTTCAATTCTAATTATTCATTCTGCTTTGATTATTTCTATACATTATTAACAGATGGTGATCTTAAAATAGATGGAGATTTAGTCATATCTCTTTAATAAAAACTCTTTTCTTAAATTGACTATTTGTATTTTAATTCAAGTTATTCATAATCTTTTTATAAATTTTAATATTTAGTTCTTAAATCTCTGACTTACTCATCCTAAGAAAATAGTTACCTGCAAACCATATTTTCTGTTTTACTTTTTTCAGCTTTCAATAATTATTATTTTAAATCCTCATTTTCTTTTTAATTTTACTACAAGCATTCTAAGACCCTATTGAATTCTTATTAGGTGTATAATGACCTTTCATCATCTTCTTTTCTTTTTCTTTCATCTTCTGTTCCTTTCTATTCATACTCTATCAATTTTTTATTAAGCTTTAATAGTATTGAAATAATTACCTTATGATTTTCTTAAACTAAAGAAGCCATTTTAGTTTAAAGTTACTCTAAAATTCCTTTTAGTTTATTATAATCCTCAGTCAAAGTATTAATTTTTTATTCATTATCATTAGAACTTTGAATAGTATGAGCAGACTATTATTGTTAAGAATCAGATAAAGCAATCTCTTCTAATTTCCTAAAATTAGAAAGAACTTCAATCATTTTATCATTTAATAAATCAGGCAACTGACTTGCTCCCATTTATTTTTAAACTGCAGAGATCAATTCTCTCAATGAACTTGAAATTTTATTAATTTCAGTTTATAGTTTTGTTTTTGATGATACAGTTGTTGTTGTTGTTTGTTTTTAATAAGAAATATTACTTGTAGAATAGTTTTAATAAGCTTATTAATTATTTATATCTTGAATTGGTGATCTGCATATGAATTCAAGTCCAGCTTTAATATTCTCTTTTGATTCTAAAAAAGGATTTAATTCTTGTCTGCTTTGATTTCTTTTTTCAGTATTAGAATTCAAATCTCGATTTTCTTTATTTGATTCAAAATTATAGGTTTTTGCAAAATCATATTTTCCAAGATCATATTAATTTACTTATGACAATAATTATTTAGTTGTATCAAATGGTTTGTAATCACCATACTGATTTGAATTTTTATTTTCTATTTATGGTATTTATGGTATCTATGGCACTTTATAATCTAATGTTTTTTATTTATAATGATATGAATCTAACAATTTTTTAGGTGAAGAAGGTTAAATCGGAAGATTTGCTATTTCTATATTTGAATAAAATACGTGATGTCAAGATTTATTTATTTGCTTCATATATTGGAGATTACATATATGGTGAAGCAACATATGTTTGTACTCTTGCTTATGATTAAGTTTTTGTTCCATATACTAGTTACCTATCTGGTGAACTTACCATCATTGTTGAATATTCCTTTGATACAGAACATGGTCTTGCCATTGTGATTGTTGTTTATTATTTTGGAAGAGGCTTCATTTTTATATTTTTCTGTTAATTAATTAAATTTAAACAATTTAATATATATATTTATAAATAATTAATCAATTCAAAACATATTCTATGCATTTTCTTCAATGCTTTTTGCAGCTTTATTAAACACCGATTAATCCTTAAAATTATTTCTTATTTTCTTTATAGGATCATGTTCCTAATCGAAAGGATCACACATAGAATATTTTTCACCTTCTTCTTTCAACTATTTCTCATTGATTGAAATTTTATATTTCTAATTAAACCCTTCTCCTTAATCTGAATAGTATTTAAAAAAATCTTTCAATAATTACTTCAAAGAAACCTGAGACATTCTTTTTTCAAATTAATCCTTCAACTAATTGTATTTTTCTCCATTATAAACCTTATTTAATTTAATATTAAATACAAAAAAAACATCAACATCGAAGCTGCTGATCCTTCTTCCTTCGATGTTTCTTTTGATTGATAATATACTTTTTAATTTAGGTGGTTTATATTATTTATTCTAAAGATTTGGCATCTGATATTTTTCTTACAAAAAATGAAGCCACATTATTAGAATAGCATAAGATGAAAAACAATTCTTATTTATTATTTTTTGCTACTTTCCCCATAATTTTAATAATACTCCACCCTAAAATATAACATTAAAGATACTTATTAAACTTTTTTATGTAAATTCGCATAAGCATATAACAATTTTGTGTTTATTACCCCCAAAAGATTATTAAAGCACATATCAATTTCAATCTTATTACTTTCATCTGCTATCTTCATTACAGCAATCCTGGCAAACTCAATAAATTCTTTAATTTTGAACTTTCTCTAATCGACAGAGTTGATTTCTTATTATATATATTTTAAAGCAATTCTTTCATCCACAAAAGAATTTGTGATAAAAGTAAAATCCACATCTGATTCTTTAGTACCAAATCCATTTAATTGAGATCCAAATATGCAAAATTCAATCTCTGATTTAAATGGATCATAATCGAGTTACTTCAGAAATAATATTAAACTTTTTATAGATCTCTAGAATTTTTTTTTATCTTCCTCTGACATCTCATTCTTTTTTAATATCTCTATAAACACTTCATCTTAGTCTTATTACCTTCCCTGAATTGAATTTGAATTAAAGAGCATTGAAATAATTATTTTAGATTATAATTAAAAATTTTTTAAAGTCAAGAGGGTTTTTCAAGGTATTCTCAATTTTCTCCTAATAAAAATTGTGCTATTTATTATTATACAATAGTTTACCAATAACTAAGCCTCTTTAAAATCCTATAATTTTAAACCCTCTAATCCATTTTATAAGGAAATTTATAAGGCTTTTCGATTTTATTATGGAATAAATGGAATTGATCAGAAGTTTTAACAATTATAAATTTTATTATCCGTGAATTTACAATAAACATGAAAAATAGAAGATGTTTGTGGCTAGTTTAATTTTACTGCTATGGCTTTGGTTTAAGAGCAAAATGGGTCTTCATAAGCTTATTATAGAAATTGATAAATCAAAATTAATTAATTAATGAATTTACATAATTTTTAATAAATTAATTTGAAAAAATAAAAAAAAGTTGATATTAATACTTATAAAAATAAATTTAATTTCTTCATTTTTAGGTAAAATAGACACTCAAATATAATGAATTACAATACTGCTCCTATTATATTAACTAAATTATTAATAAAACTTATTTTAAGTCTCTAAGATATTTATTGTTTATAATGAATTGGTGTAAATACCATAATTCTTATATTCAATTTAATTCTTAAAGATTCGTTTATCATAAGGTCAAGTATTAAAATAAGCTTATCCTGTATCAACTGAGGGGAATGTTATATACATTTTCACTTTTAATGATTAATTTTCGCTACAATGAATTACAAATTTATTTTTATTACTATAAGGAATTAAAAAGACTTTAATTTTGAGCAGAGATGGAGTTGTTTTGTTAAAAAATATGCCTATAAAACCAATCTAATGAAATAGATGGAGAAAGATGAAATTTTACTATTCAAAAGTTTTTAAGAAATAAATAAAGGATGTAATTTATCTTCAAATTATCAATTTAAAGATATATAGAAAAACAAAAAATTTATAGATAAGAAACTTCAAAGCAAAGATCATATGAAAACCCTTCTGGAAGGTATTATGTTAATTAAGATTAGAAATCGATTAATTCCTCTTTAAAAAGCTCAGCAGAGAATTCTTCAAACCAATTTAGAATACTGATGATTTTATTATGAAAAAAAATTTATAGATATTTCAAGACAAAAACTATTTGAAGTATCTATAATTTTGCCAGTACCTATTTTACTAAACAATCGTAAATCATTAAAAAAATGCAAAAATAAAAATTTTCTTTATAATTACCACCAAAAACACCTGTTATTATCTGATTATATTGGTTGTTATGATTAATAATCCAGTAGATTGTATAGATTGTATAGATCTATCGGAAAAAAATGATTTTATTAAAGAATTAAACCAACTTATATCTAGATATAATGGTTAATAAAAACCTCAATTTTAATCTTTTGCATAAATTGCTAATTTATAAAAATCACCTCCAAAATTAACTATTGACATTGGAATTAAGATGATTTATATCGATTAGAATAAATGGAAAGAGAAAAATAAGAAAAATAAAATAAAATAAAAAGACTATCTTCGTTAATAAGATGGTTTGAATTATATTTTTTATATAATTATCGATTTCATTTATAAATTGTCAGGTAATTTATGGAGGTGAATATAAAAATTATCATAATATTAGAAAAGGGAGTTAATGAAGAAAATAGTTTATAAAAAGGGAAAGGATAGAATTACATGAAAAACCTTTCGAAAAAATATTATCATTTGAATTATTGAGTAACAAATAAAAAATGAATCTTATAAAAATAACATTAAATAAATTTGTATGGAATTTATTGTTAAATCTAAAGGATGCTGAAAAATATTGTAAATTAGGAGATAGTTTACTTAAACAAAATCGTTTAGATGAAGCAAAAAACTTCTATTAAAAAAGTTTACATATTAAAAAAACAGATTTTAATGCCAAAATAGGAATAGGTATTAGAACTAAATATATCTTAAGCTTAATGTTTACAAAAATCCCATAATTACAAAGAAGCATTAGAGCTGTATAAGGAAGTTCAAAATGATGATAAAAATAATTATTTTATCTCGTTCTAAATTGGTAATAATTATATTTAAAAATAGCCGAATGTTTAAGAAATATGTGGTAAGATGAAGAAGCTCTTGCTGCTTATTCTTAAGCTTTAGACATTCATGAAACTACATAGGGTTTTTTTATGTAAGGTAATGAAATCAAATATTCTTAGGTGTGACCCTATTTAATTTGAATAGAATGGATGAAATATTATAGTTTTATTAGAGAGCAAAGAAATTAGGAATAAAAGATGAATGGATGAAACTATTCAAAATATTAAAATGTAACGAATACTTAGTTAACTCTATTAGTTTAAATGGATGAAAATAATGATAAAGCACAAGAATTAATTAATTAAATAGGAAATGATTCTGACTAATAAGTACATTGTCGAATATCTATTTGTAAGTCGATTAAAATATTATTAGTTAAAATATTATCGAGTCTTGAAAATAAAGAAGAAAATCTGAAATATGCCAATCAAATTTTGAAAATTGAACCTAACAATTTGCAGACATTGTAAATCAAATGTATAGTTTGATTAAAAATTTTAGTCGACATTTTACTAGAATAGTAGTAATACGAAGAAGTAATTCTACAGTATGATTAAATGTAAAAGATAAATGGGAAACATGAATCAATTAATAAAATGAAAGATAAATTATATTCTAAATTATCAGAATTAGATGATTATGAGTAAATGGATATATTTGAACAAATATTATTATTTAATCCAAAAAGTATTACAACACAAATAATGAAATGTAAGGCACATTTTAAATAAAAATTAGGTTAATTTTTATTAGATAAGTACAAATACAAGTAAGCATTATATACTTTTGCACAAATTCTTAAATTAGATTGGAATGAAGAGATTTTAGAACTAAAAAATTAATTATTGTTAAAAGTTTCTAGTGAATTTTAAGATGATCATAAGATATTTTATGATTTTTATACTAAATGGTTACAAATTAATCCATCAAATGTTATTGTTTTAGAGTTTATGTGTAAAAATTATTAAATGTATTTTAAGATCATCTTTTAATAAAATAAAAAGAGTTTGAAGAAGCTATAAAATTTATATAATTAATTTTATAATTCGAACCAAATAACTTTATGATTTAATCCAAACTATGTAAATTAGTTATAGATATTCTAGGTAAATGTTACATATAAATTTTATTTTAAATCCCCTTCCAATCTCATACTCAAAGCCATGATTGCCTTTGATGAAACTAGAATTAAGCATGTTGGATTATCAATATCAGCAAACTAACTCTAAAACGTCAGGAATAGACGTTGAAAATCGAGAGAATCAGATACCATTATATCTGATGCCCCATCCAATAAAAATCTCATGTTGGAGGAAGATATATTAAGAATAAGGATCCTAGATTATAGGTCATACTTATCCTATTTTAACAATCATGTATATTCTTTTGTATTTCTTAATACAAAAAAGAACTGTAAATGAAATTTTTATATTAATTAAGAATAAAATATTCAAGACCTCTTACATCTTATTGTATAAACCTGTGGTGAAGTACTAGTTTAAATAAAAAAAGAAAAAATAATTTAGATGATAATATTAATATAATTGGATTTACTTGAAACATTAAAATGAAATTCTCTAATTTCATTCAAATTCTAATCTTTAACTAGGATTGAATTAATATTATTAAATATTATTTTAATTATGATTTAATCCAATGAAAAGTAATAGAAAATCAATTTATCATGCAAGAAACATGATGAATAATAAATTATTATATGGTGTAGTTAACCAGATTGTAAAGAGGGGAGATTATGTTGTGCTCTTTGCTAAAATGAAAATAAACACGGTGCTCACTTTTAAAATGTCTTTGAAATTGATTAGTTAGTTCCCTATTTTGCCGAGTAATAGAAAAAAGTATTCGAATTAAAATAATTTGCCTAAAGTTCATCAGAAAAATTTTGTAAATTCTTTTCTTAAATAATGGATGAAATTGAATATCTATTTTATTAATTTGATCCAGAAAATATAAGAAGTCAAGAATCAATTTGTGATGCCATATAATTGTCTTTTCAATTTGAAAATTTATAGTAAAATATCGAAAAATTTTTTGTTAAGAAATTAGAAGAAATCCAAGATTATTTAGGATAATTTAATAAAGAAAATCAACTAAATCTAAAGGATGCTGAAAAATATTGTAAATTAGGAGATAGTTTACTTAAACAAAATCGTTTAGATGAAGCAAAAAACTTCTATTAAAAAAGTTTACATATTAAAAAAACAGATTTTAATGCCAAAATAGGAATAGGTATTAGAACTAAATATATCTTAAGCTTAATGTTTACAAAAATCCCATAATTACAAAGAAGCATTAGAGCTGTATAAGGAAGTTCAAAATGATGATAAAAATAATTATTTTATCTCGTTCTAAATTGGTAATAATTATATTTAAAAATAGCCGAATGTTTAAGAAATATGTGGTAAGATGAAGAAGCTCTTGCTGCTTATTCTTAAGCTTTAGACATTCATGAAACTACATAGGGTTTTTTTATGTAAGGTAATGAAATCAAATATTCTTAGGTGTGACCCTATTTAATTTGAATAGAATGGATGAAATATTATAGTTTTATTAGAGAGCAAAGAAATTAGGAATAAAAGATGAATGGATGAAACTATTCAAAATATTAAAATGTAACGAATACTTAGTTAACTCTATTAGTTTAAATGGATGAAAATAATGATAAAGCACAAGAATTAATTAATTAAATAGGAAATGATTCTGACTAATAAGTACATTGTCGAATATCTATTTGTAAGTCGATTAAAATATTATTAGTTAAAATATTATCGAGTCTTGAAAATAAAGAAGAAAATCTGAAATATGCCAATCAAATTTTGAAAATTGAACCTAACAATTTGCAGACATTGTAAATCAAATGTATAGTTTGATTAAAAATTTTAGTCGACATTTTACTAGAATAGTAGTAATACGAAGAAGTAATTCTACAGTATGATTAAATGTAAAAGATAAATGGGAAACATGAATCAATTAATAAAATGAAAGATAAATTATATTCTAAATTATCAGAATTAGATGATTATGAGTAAATGGATATATTTGAACAAATATTATTATTTAATCCAAAAAGTATTACAACACAAATAATGAAATGTAAGGCACATTTTAAATAAAAATTAGGTTAATTTTTATTAGATAAGTACAAATACAAGTAAGCATTATATACTTTTGCACAAATTCTTAAATTAGATTGGAATGAAGAGATTTTAGAACTAAAAAATTAATTATTGTTAAAAGTTTCTAGTGAATTTTAAGATGATCATAAGATATTTTATGATTTTTATACTAAATGGTTACAAATTAATCCATCAAATGTTATTGTTTTAGAGTTTATGTGTAAAAATTATTAAATGTATTTTAAGATCATCTTTTAATAAAATAAAAAGAGTTTGAAGAAGCTATAAAATTTATATAATTAATTTTATAATTCGAACCAAATAACTTTATGATTTAATCCAAACTATGTAAATTAGTTATAGATATTCTAGGTAAATGTTTATATCAAAATAATTTATGAGAATTTTTAATCAGAGTGGATAAAATTAAAGAAGCAATAAATATATTTAATTAACTGATAAATTAAATTCATTCGCCTTCTAAAAAAATGCAGAAGAAAAATAAAAAATTATTTAATGAAATAATAGCACTTTGTAAAAACAATAATAATAGAGAAATAATAACAAAGTTATTAAAGGAAGATCCCGAAAATTTTGTAGCTTAAATTTTAGAATGTATTTTCATATTAAAACTTAGATATTCTAATATCCTAGGATGAAGAAAGTGAAGATGACAGTAAAGTTGGAAAAGGATTAGAGTCACTTGAATATATTTATGATGCCTTCAATCAAAACTATCAAAATAAATTATAATTGATAGTAATTATTTTCAATATCTTAGTAAAATTTTCTTGATGAAGAAAAAGAAATGAGCATAAGACATAGAGTTATTATTATGAAAGCTATTAAGGAACTATTTATTTTAACCAAAAAAAAAGAACCAAATAAGTTAATCAAACTTATCAAAAAAAGTCTCTTAAAGAAGATTGAGAATAAATTAAGTTCTAATGAAAGACTCTCTATTTTATAATGTATTCTAAAAAATGAACCTGATAATTTAATTGCATTAGAATTGAAAACTATTTTACTATTTCAGAGGAATTCAACAAGAAATAAAAAATAAATAATTAAAAATATAGAAATAATTTTGGATTAAAATCCATATTTTTTAAATCTTGTTAAAATAAAATGTATTTAATAAATTAAAATATAGGTTAATACTTACTTGAAAAGAAAAAATTTGGAGAGGCAATTGAATTAGCAAATTCAATTTTATCTAATAAAAATTTATTCATAAGAATAAAAATTTATTTTGGTTTTCAGGATCCTTTGATTAAAATAATTAAAATGATTGAAGAATTTGATCACAAATCTAAATTTAAAGAACTCAATAAAATTCTATAGGCTAATTAAGATAATCAAATAGCCTTAAAATTAATGTGTCTCGCATTATTAGAAAAAATTGATGAGCAATCAAAAGAAAAAGATGAGCAATCAGAAGTATCAAAAAAAAAAGATGAGTCATCAGATGAAGAAGATGAACCATCAGAAGAAAATGATGAGTTATCAAAAGAAAAAGATGAGCTATCAGAAGAAAAGGATGAGTTATCAGAAGAAAAGGATGAGCAATCAGAAAAAAATGATGAGCAATCAGAAGAAAATGATGAGCTATCAGAAGAAAAAGATGAGCTTAACGTTTCTGATTGCCTAACTAAAATAATTAAACTTTCAAATCGACTTAATGAAATTACATATTATCTTATGAAAGATGTTGGGGATATTAAAAAGTAGATTTATAAGATATTGATGAAAAATAAAAATGTAAATAAAACAATCATTACTTTTAAAAAACTTGAACTAAATAATTCTGAGAAGTTATTTGCATATCCAATTTTATGTAAGAAATTTAAATTTATTTTAGGTAAAATATTAATATAGAACGATAAATGGTAAGAAATATAATAAATTACAGATGAAATGTTAATGATCAACCCAAATAATTTTGAAGCCTAAGGATTATTAGGTATTACAATTTAATTACTAATAGCTTAATCTTTATTTAAATAAGGGAAATTTATGGAATCATATATAATCTTAGATTAAATGATAAATTAATTTAATGATATAGATGAGTTTGATATGATGATGAAATAAAAACGATTAACATCATTTCTTAATTTTTTTTAAGATAATAAACATTAAGATGAACATCTGATTGAAGATGCAAAAGAAATTCTAGAGAGAGATCCTTAAAGTTTTATGGCAAATTTTATATTATCAGATTACAAATTGTGGATAGATAATGTAGAAATGCTTTATAAAAAATATCCTAATAATAAATGCTTTTAATGGTCATATTGTAATTATTTTAAATAATTGATAGTTTATTTCCTATTATAATAGGAGAATTATAAAGGAATAATTAAGTTAAATACATAATCTATTTTCCCATTATTTATTATAGCTCCCTACCTTTAAGATGAAATACGAGATAATATGGATGATAAAAATACTATTGAATATCTTGATAAATTAAATCCCAATGAACCACAAAATAGATTATTTGAAATAATAAAAAGTAATTAATCTAATTAATGAAATAGGCATAATTCTAATTGAAACAGGTAATTAACAAGAGTCCTTTGAGCAGCTATAAAAAATATTATCTTTTGATGAAGTGATAAGAGAATATGTCCTTACAGTTTTATTTTATAAGATGGAGATTTTTAAAATCTTTATTAATAGATTTTTAGAGACAAAAACTAAACGTTAAATAGAATAAATGATTAAATAAAAGCTCGATATTGATCCAGAGAATTTAGCAGTGTGGTTTCTTAATAGTAATTATTTTTTTAATTGTAGCCTATGTAAAATTGTATGAATGAAGGGGGGATGATTATTATTAATATTATATTTTATGATAAAATTTGTCGAATTTATATTAAATGATTTAGTTGTTAAAGTGTTATGGAAGTTCTAAAATATAAAAATAATCTTATAAGTAAAATAAGTTTAAATCATGATATATAAACTTTTATTTAATTTAATAAGTAAAATCATTTATATACATCCTAATTATTTATTGCTTTAAATTATAAAGATTATATATAATAATGTA